CACAAACGTTTCTATAATTTAAAACATATTTGCACTATCATCTATTTTCTTATGTCTGTCTGTATCAGATATGCAAGATATTAATAAAGGAAGCTCTTGTATAGCAGCAGTAATTTGTTTTTAGCTCTCACACACATTATTTGAGCACAAAACATCCAACACTGTAAAACTCAGTTATAAAACAGGAGCAGTCAACATTATCCCTAAAGTGGTCATTATGCCAGGTTGCCACAACTGACCTATATATCTCCACCAGTCAGGGACAAGCAAATAATTCAGTAGAAATCCTGCCTTATATCCATACTCTGTTCTGCAAGTACTGACAGGCTCATAGCTCTGTATCATTCATCAAAGTTACCATCAGAAATGCCGGGAAATATGGCCTGTTCAGCTAGATATAAAAGAAAAGCTAAACTCTGGTCCACCTTCAGTGATGGTGCATCCTTTGATTATGAGAACATAAGATGCCCCATCTAGTCCAGCATCCTGGTATTTGGCAGCATTGCTTCCTCCAGCTGTGGGGGTGGAGAAGAGCCTTCATTATAACTTTTAGTTGTGTGTTGCATGTATTGTATACACCCCAACTGTCCCTGTTTATCAGGGAGAACCTTAATTTTCTGGTGTCTGCACCTAGTTTGCCTTTTGAGGAAGCAGGACCCAAAACAAAATGATAGACTATCTGTTGATTCAAGAAAACAAAATAGGTATAAAAGGAGAATTTCTCAATACCAAGATCCAAGTTTGGGGCAAGTGCTCTTTGGAGAGAGAACACCAGCAGAAATTTAAAATTACAAAACATGCAACAAAGTAAAGCGAGGAAATATAGACCTTTAAAATATGCCCTTCCAGGTTTCTTTCCAAGTTTCCCTCTTGTCCTGGCATAGAAAAAGACCACACATTTGGAAAGTTAAAAATGCTTTCCTTACTAACTCTCTAAAGGTCAGATTCATATGCTTTTCCATACAGCATTCAGAAAAAGTTGTGCAGGTAGCAAAACCTAGCTAACAAAGTGGTGAAAGTTCCGAAACTATTGGTATACAAACTCAAGAGAGGATTGTTCGAGCCACATGGCTGGAGGCAGCTGGTCAGAGCTTCTCACAGAGTTCACATATAGAATGGGGAGGAAACAGAGGTTAGATTACCTTGTTTCTCCCTATGGCCTAGGCTAAGCCTGGCAGGACAGCTTAGTCTGTGGTATTAACCTCTTCATGCATTAATTAGACTTTACTCAGTCCTAAAAATACTGTTCCTGCTCTAGGGTCTAGCCAGCTCACCATCTGCTCCACCCTAAAAAATATAGGGCTGGGCAGGACCCAATCAGCTAACTATGCTTCCCCCGTTTTACCCCATTTTTCCATGTTCTTTTCCAGCTGACACTTAACAGTTTGTGGCTCCTAGCAGCTATTGGGAACACTTGGGTTGGGTTTTTTGGGGGCTGGGGGAAGTGTAGAACTGCCTCCCATATTCAGGCAAGACCCTTTAATGGAAGGAGACCAGTCCTGGTCTGGGTCTACACTGACCTGTTTAACGTTATTAGAACAATATTAGATATGTCATCAAATAAAATTTAGGAATATTGCTTGCAGCACAATCAATCTATGTATACTTACATAGAAGGATGCTAATTTGTAAGGGTATTTAATTTGTAAGGGTATTTAATTACCTAGTTACTTCCACTTACCTGGGAGTCAGCCTTATTGAGTGGACATGATTAGGATTGTGCTGCAAACTTTGAGGTTTCTGTTTTGTAAATGCCAAGGGAACAGTGCTTGTGGAGTACATCGCCATGTCTCTCAGCCTTAGCTAACCCTAACCCTAAACATGAAAGTTTAAAATAATTTATGCCATTTGGAAAATATTTCACTTTTTGTTATAATTTCTAATTATTGCAATGAAAACAACAGCACAGCAATGATTCTCAGTTTTAAAGCAAAGTAAACAGAAAGGAAAATGCAGAGAATGAAAAGGTGAGACTATGTGCCAAAGGCAAACAGATCTGTTTTAAAGTTAAGTTGCAACAGGAAGGAAGCCTTGATTTCAAACAGTGCTTTAAAGTTAAAGATCTATTCCAAATGCTCTTACCAAGCAGGTCCTATTGTGATGGTAATGACATGTTGCGTGGGAAGTCGTGGTTTCTCTTGGACAGAGGGAGAACAAACTTCGCCATGATTGAAGTACCATATGAAGGTCAAACCACAAAATCACTAATTCACTCCTTGTCCAACTCAACAGAATTGGCTTACCTAGTCTTGAATTTCACATTATTTTTTTTGTATGTGTGCTTCTAGAAGCTGTTGTGGTATGAATGTCACAAATCAAAGAAATATTTCATTAGGAGCCATTGCTAGCATTTGATTTTTCTTTTAATAGTGTCAGATACCCTTGACTAGAAGCCAACATTCAACGTAAGCAGCATCATAGGAATTCTGATATCCAAGAGTGACAACCACCAAGGAAATACTTGAGGGCCTCCAGCAGTTTCTCATTTTAAATTTTTAGATTGCTGTTTTATAAAACAGTCATTTTTAAAATGTTGTAAACGCACTTGCTAGAAAGATTAAGCCTTGTTGAACACAGTGGAATTTGCTTCCAAGTAAAGATACACAGGATGGCTTTTTAGATGGTTGCAAAGATGTATGTCACAAATCAAAGAAATCTCATTTCAAATTCAGAAATCACAGTTTCAGACACCTAAAATGGAGGTTCTAAACTCAAATGTGTTCATGCTCAAACATCCCAACAAAAAGATGCCTAAGGACCCAGCTCAGATATTTGCCTGGAAAAACCTCCTGTTTTGATAGGGGAGAAACACAGTTGTTAGATTTTAAAAACTGGACACCATCTAATCCCAGGATGCTACATTCCATATCTTACACACCAAAATATCTTCTTGGCTACATTATGCATTGCCCCAATTTGAAGGAAGAAACCAAGGTTCTGAGCACGTGCAGATCACTACATTAAACATGAGTATTTTTCCATCAATGCTGAATGAAACAAAACCACTTGAACTGTGTAATTTCTTTAGCTGTTGTCCAGTCTTCAATGTGATCAATTGTCTCTATGTATATCAGTAGCTGTCCTGTTCACTTTCCCCATGTGTTTCAAAGAAGATGTGCTGCAGCAACCAGTTGCGGTCATATTATTGCTAGCAAGTCATTCCATTCACTTGGTAGTGAAGTATTCTCCTTTACATCTGTGGATATTCTTTCCAAATGGAGTATTATATATACATTATCAAATTCTGGAAATGCCCTTTGCTCCAAGATGTTCAGCAGTGGGGTTTGTTTGTTTGCTGTCAGCATACCAGATTCTAAATCTGATCTGTTTAAACCATTGTAAATTCTTGTATAGCTCTCGTCTGTGAGCAAAAGTTCTCCTAATGTGCCAGCACCAGGGATCTCATAAAGCCAGACCAACTCCATGAAACACTGTTTGCCAAAGGAAGAGGAGTCAGGCCCCTGTCCATCCTTAACTAATAACTGCACAAGAGTTATTTTCTCGGTGGGGATAAATGGTTCATTGGTTTCTAACAGTTGGTTCTCTGCCACTGTAGAATTGAATTAATTCAGACCCAGGTCACAAATAATTGAGTTAGACAGTGTTTACTCTCATTGATTGTTAATGGACAGTAGACAAGAGAGAGCGAAACTTCTATACTAGTCACTACTGGCAATTTTGATATTGCACAGAGACTAGATTGGTGAGAATGGGCAACTGTTTTTTTCTCTTTCCAACCCCCAACCCCCAACTCCTGCTATGGATCCCAAAGCTGACATGGACCACACTTTTTAAAAGAGTCATGCAGACTGAAGCAATTTGTCCCAAGACTGGAACTGGGAACCTTCAGATCTGTCTTTAATTTCCCTTGTGGTGAGCTACGAGGTTGACACGTGGCTGTGATATTCTCCTCGATTCCAGAGTGACTCCATCAACCACTTGGCTTCCCAAATAAAAGCTTCCAGGTCAGAGTTCAGCTTTGCTTGGGCAACAGCCAACCCTGCCTGCTGCCACTACAGCATCTGAAGGCTTGCTCCATTCATGGTTTACCCAGCTCTAAGAACTTGTGTCTCCTTCTTCCCACCCTCCCCGCATTCTGTCCTGCCTAGAACCTAGGAACTTACATTCATATCCAGTTTCATTGTTAATGGATTTAATTTGCATAATTTCATCCCCAGGAGCCTTCTTGGTGGTGGCTGCTCCCAGATGTTGGAACTTCCTCCCTAGAGTAGTTAGAATGGCTCCCTCGTTGTCCTTCTGCTGGAAGATGAAGACCTTTGGGGTCTGACTTTGGGTCAGGCTTTGGGTCAGGCTTTGGGGAATGACTACTTTTAACAAAAGGGCTGGTGCTGTGCTGTTTTTATTGTAATTATCTGTATGTTTCTAATAGATCATATATATATAATATTTAACAAATGATACTGTGTTAATTCTATAAATGTTTAATTGTTGTTTTTCCCACCCTAGGTTGTTAGCCGTTCCTATTTTATCTGTAAGCTGCCTTGAGTCTCTGTCAGGGAAAAAGGTGGGGTATAAATAAATACATTATAGAATAATGATAGAAATGTTGTTGTTGTTGTTAATGTTCTCACTGCCTTACCAATGTGTAAGAGATCTGGAGAGAGCTGCTGAATTCTGAGGAAGGTTTCAAGCTCTGTGCCATCTACAGATACTGCCAGAACCTTGCGAGCCAGAATGCAGGGCAAAACAGAGTTAAGATGTGCGGCTTATGTCCATCCACTACAAATTCATCCACCAAGTGTCATTGTTCATTTCAGTTAGGCTTGTGTGGATTAGAGCTTGATTTGTTATGACATGCCTGGGTTGGAAAATGCTAGGTGCGCAGCTCAGAGATGGCACACTCAAGTTACCAGTTCGTCAGTGGAATAATGGAAATCATCCTTTATTGGCCAGTGGCAGTCATAGAATCATAGAATTGTAGAGCTGGAAGCAACCACGGGGGTCATCTAGTCCAACCCGCTGCAATACAGGAATCTTTTTGTGCAACGTGGGGCTCAAACCCAAGACCCTGACATTTAAAGTCTCGTGCTCTACTGACTGAGCAGTAGCAGCAGCATTATTAATAATATTTAATAATTGCATTTCAGGTCTTCTAAGCACTTCAGATACATTATCTCAGTAACAGGTTAGTAGTGAAGGTATGCCTTGAGTAATTGTTCCTTCTCCCAAAACCAGAACTTCTTGTTCTCTTAAAAAAAACACCCCAAACAAATTAACTCAATTCTTCTCTTTTGTGGGTCTGAATCAAAGCCCAAGGAAATCAATGCCATCAATAGGTTCCGGAACCAACTCCTTTTTCCGCTTAATTTGGTACTGATGCTTGCCACCCAACAATAATTTTGCTTTTTAACCATATGCTTGTGGCTAATATTAAAAGCCAGTACTTTAAAGCAAATCCTTTCAAACCCACCCTCCCATTTTTTAAAGTCTCTTAACCTCTAATAACCTGTGTAAAAGTCAGGAAAAAACAGCAGCGTCACAAGAAGAGTCAATAGCTTGAACTAGTTATAGAGTGAATAACAGAATGTAAAACAAATGGCTGCTGGCAGCTAACAGAGAAAGTCATTTTCTCTCATTTCAAGTGGAAAAAGAAGAGAAACACTGGAGAAACAAAACAAGAATAGTTGGGCACAGACGGGCCTGACTCAGTGTCTCTCTGTCACCTTTTCTTTCAGGATCTTTTGGGTGTTCTACAGAGACCTAGCAACCACTCTGAATCAGCCAGTTTTCAACAGGGTGGTGATCTTGGGGGGGGGGGAATTAACCCTCAGCTTCAGAGTTGGTTAAACTGGAAAAATGACCACACATGGTCTGGGGCAAGGTGCCATTTAAAGGGAAATTGGGAGCGATGCACTCTCGCTTGTTTCCTCTCTCCAGGATGAAGAACTCAATGGCACATTTCAGAAATACATTTGGCTCCATTTCTGCTAATGGAAGAACAACATGGGTTTGAAGACATCTCACTTGTCTCCACCTGTACCTGTCTGTGAACTAAAACCTTTGTCAGAGATCTTTCTGTGGGTTCCTCCACCATATGTGATGTAGTGGGTCTTGGAGGCCAGTGAAAGGGCTTCAATAATGGCACCCCAACTGTGAAATGCTATCTGCAAGGAGGTCTGCCTGGCAAGTGAACTGATCTCATTGTAGCATTGGCAGTATCTCTTTCTGCCCTGCCCCTCATTGCTTTATTGCTGTAAAGTTCTTACATTGCTCTTTTACAATTTTGGGTACGGCTTTAGAAGATGTTTCATACAGGGGACTTCCGGGTTAGCGCCTCCGGCAATGGCGGATTTCCTCTGATCGGGAGGAATCCGCTTCGTGAGAATTAGGGTCTGGACCGCCACGGCGAGGCAGAGACCCACCAAAAACCACAGGCGGGAGAAGCCTGTGGACGTGGGATTCGGCTGGTACCTTTTGCGCCTCCCCTACTCGCGGGGAACCCCGGTTTCAGGGATCCGGAGCGACGTGGGGTGAGTGCTTCGAATTGACTGCTCTTTTCACGGAGTGAAGCCGCATTGCTGTTGCCGGGGAGCGCTGACTTTTTCCTGTGGACAATTGGATTTTAAACAACTGCCCGTGAGTAGAACGGAAAATTGGACTATGAAACTTCTTAATTTGGCACCGAAGCGGTAAGGTCTAAACAGGAAGTCCGCCTTCCGCTTTTGTAAATAGATTGAAGCAAAGACATTGCAAGCTAGAGTCTGGAAAGTCGTTTGTAAAGGGCTAAATTTCCATCAGCTAAAATTACCAAACCCCCCTTGGAAGCAGGAGAAGAGGGGGGAAATCTTAGACTGTTTAAACCTGCAGAAGAGAGAGTAAAGAAAGATAAATTTCCACCGTCTTGAACCTGGGAACGGGGTGTCAGAGACAGACGCTTTGGGGAAGTTCATTGACTGTGGATAAAACGTTTTTTGACAGATAGTTAAAAAAGAGAAACATATTGATTCCAATGTTCCCTTTTGCACTTAAAAGGAACAAAATATCTGAAAAACGAAAGGAACTTTGTTGCTGGATCTGCTTCTAAAAAGACGGATACAAACAGAAATTGTTTCCTCTAGAGGGAGCTTGTGAAACTGTTGCTGGAGTCAATCTGGGGAATTCTACAGCTGTAGAGATTAAAGATCGTGAGAACCAGACATTGACCTTGAACAAGAATGTGCCCAGGAGAAGCTTTAGTGCTTGCCTTTTGCAAGACAAGCACTTTACTGGAACAGCTACATGAGAAGATGGATTTGATGACTGTTGCAGTTGGCAATTTTGGACAAACAGTGAATACCTATATAGAAACCACTCAGGAACCAACCCAGGAATGTGCTTTGACAGGGCAAGTTGTGAAGAAGATAAAGGAGGAGGTTGTTGCTGAACCTCAAGTAATAGAAATGGAGAGAGCTGCGGCCTTGCAGGAACATAAGTTGTTGTTTCTGACGACTGAACCTGGAGAAAGTCAGATTTGGAGAGATGGAGTACTGTTTGGTCTGGAGATGGGAAGTTGGATAGATCCCCCTATGCAGGGATGTTTTGACTTTTCGGATCTGGTTTTGGGCCAGGGGGAGTTTGGAGTTGTGGGGGTCCTTAACCTTGGAGGGACTTTGAAACATGCCTTCAAATATCTTTTGGATTTCAGTGCTGACTATGGAGAATGGGCTGACTCGTCGAGAAGGGATAAAGATGTTGTCAAGTTGGAGTCTCCCCGAGATCTACCGCTCAGTGAGAAAGGAAGGAAATTAAGAATAAGATCAGCAGAAGATAAAGTAAAGTGCAGGTATAAACATGAAGAAGACCTGCAGAAGGGACATGGAAAAGACTTAAGAGCCTCGGATAGAAGGTCACCAGGTTGATGGACTAGATGGAAGGGATAGAAAGGACTGATAAAACCCGAGACCAGGAAGAAGAGACGATGGATGAAGATTGGAAGAAAGTTTTAAAAATTCATTTAAAAATCATTGTAAAAGTAATGAGTATTAGAAAAATGTTGGAATGAAACTATTTGGCTTTAGTAGAAATGTTAAAATGTTAAAAGGAATTATGTATAAATAAGTTTTAAGTTTTAAGCTTTAGGGCTTTTTATGGTAAGATAAGGTTAAAATAAATCAAGGTAATTTAATGACAGAATATAGTGAAAGATGGAAAGGATTTGCTGAGATAATTAATAACTAGAATACAAAAAGGGAGGTGTGAGGAGGTCGATGAAACAAGTTAATGAAAGATAAAGATTTGGGAATATTGGATTTGTTTTTTAAAATTTTTGTTTATTTTTGTTTTTGGTTTTGATGTATTGTGTGTTTTGTTTTTTGTTTTTTGTTTGTTTTTATTGACTTGTATTGTTTAATTTCTCTTTTTGTCTACCTTTTTTCCTTTTCCTTTTTTTCCCCCTCTGTAATTTTAAATTCTCAATAAATATCATTTTAAAAAAAAGAAGAAGAAGATGTTTCATACAGTGGTACCTCTGGTTAAGAACTTAATTAGTTCTGGAGGTCCGTTCTTAACCTGAAACTGTTCTTACCCTGAGGTACCACTTTAGCTAATGGGGCCTCCCGCTGCCGCCACATGATTTCTGTTCTCATCCTGAAGCAAAGTTCTTAACCTGACGTACTATTTCTGGGTTAGTGGAGTCTGTAACCTAAAGCGTCTGTAACCTGAAGCATCTGTAACTTGAGGTACCACTATATTGTATTGTTGATGTGGTGTAAACCACCCTAGGATTCTCTTTGAAGGGAGGTTAATTCCTAAAATTAATAAATGTGCAAACAATGTAATGTAGCTACATTGTTTGTAGCTAAATAGCTCCTTAGCAATTCTACTATGTGAACAGTGTCCTCTTCTGTAAGAACTCAGGGTTCACTGGGAAAGGCCAGCAGTGCCCTGTCAAGTGACTGAGTCAAGAATTCAAAGACAGGACCTTGGAGAGCAGCTATAAAAGCTGTTGACTCAACAAGTACCCAGATCCAATTGAAGCCTTATCTATGTTGACTGGGTCTGTGCTATTGCATGCTCCACCTCCCCAAAGGACCTGGAGGACTGTTGGAGGACGCTCTCCTTATTTTACAGTATTTGACTCCTGCAAAACTTGAGGAGTCAAGGGTGCTTTGAGAGACTCTTCCTCTGAATCTGAGGGTGATGGCAAGTCAGTGTCCTCTGGCCTGAAGAAAGGCATGGCAACCCTTCCCCCCAAGAAGAAAGCCAAAGCCGTGTCATCATTCCACAAGTCCTCTGTCACATGTCACTTGAAGAGCTACTTTATGATTAAACTTCTCCCTCTGAAATCAACAGAACATAAAACCCCTTAACCTTGTATCAGGTCGATCACATTGGCAGCACTGCATACATGTTTTGCTAAAGCCAATATGTTAAACTTGGAGATTAACATGGGTGAAATGTTTTTTTCTGGGAAACATTTTTTCAGTGCTCTGTACTTGTCTGCTCCTGCCCACTTTCACCACTGCCTGGTAAGCTTGAGATTTTAGCTCCATGGATATTAAGGATGAATGCACTAACCATAATTACACAAGCTGCTGAATGTTAAACTGCCTACTGTAGGCTGCTTTGACTTGCCAGCTCTATAGTCAGCTCATGCTTGCTTCCCCATTACTGAGGGAGGTGATGGTCCTCCTTGTAGACTTCTGAATCATTAACATTTTCATGGCATCTTCATATATTATGCTTCAGTGAAAACAGACCTTCCAACTCAGTTTATCTGATGTTGGAAGATAACAGGTGTAGCTCTCAGCAAGGATCAGTGAAAGAGATGGAAGTTACTGGACTTTTACTGCTATACACTTATGTTCAACTAAAATCCAATGCTGCAGTGGTGGTCTTCAGAACTTTCTACCATAATCTACGTTGTTCCCATTGACTAATATGCTACGCAACCACTGCGCACTGCAAGAACATGTTTTAGGGCACACACTACAATTCTATGATTCCACTCAGTACACATGTGGAACTGGCTAATGCTGTTGCATTTCACGTATGTCTCACATGTGCCAAGGGTTTACCCTAGGAAACACTTGACCCATCCTGTAGTTGCAGGAAATTGCAACTACAGAAATATTGG